CTTCAAAAAGGTAAGTGTCTTGCTTAACCTCAAGTGGGGGAATTACCCCTTAGGCATTGTGTCTTATGTGCCATTTGTGAAATGTGAAAAGCTGTGTACGCGAGGTGATGAGTACGTACTCGGGCTTATACGTGCAAAAATTTATTGAATTAAAGTCTTAGGCATTATTGTGTAGTAAATTGGGAAATTGTGAAAAATTATTAAATCATCTATTTGCCATGCCTAAATCCTTATTGTTGAATTTGTTTTTATATGATAATTTGGTGTGATTGTTACTTGAAATATTTATGAAATTTCGTGAGTATTGTTGGTTTAATATTTCTTGGAAATTAATTCCAATATGAATTTTCTTATGCAAATAATTAATTTAAGCGAGCTTAAGAATAAGTATTAATATAATTATCTAAATTTACATTAATGAAGGCTTTGCTTTATACTGAGTAATTTCTATCTCTATTGATTGTTTTTGGGTGTTATATATATTGTGTGGAGTCTTGGGCTATTTGTTGTGAAATTAATTGATTTTGTTATATCTTTGGAATTTGGTTGTGGCCATTGGGCAAATTGTGATATGAATTGATTTTATTATGTTGTCGTGTTAATTTTTCGTGTAAATTGTTGTGTTATGTGAGCTATTGTTTTGGGGAGATAAGGGTGGCATTTCACCGTTGATATTATGTGGGTATAAGGGTGGCATTTCACCGTTGATATTATGTGGGTATAAGGGTGGCATTTCACGGTTGTTATGTTTGTTGGAATATTGTATGGGCGGAGCGATAAGGGTAGCTATAGAAGCGATAAGGGTGGCAATAGGAGCGATAAGGGTGGCTATTGTCAGGGACGATATGTGATGATATGGGGTTGTAGTGTTGATGATTTTTATGTGATGTTGTGATTTTTCTTGTGTTTATTTTTATGCCTTGTGCAATTGATCTTGTTGATAGTAAATTGATAACAATTTATTTTATGTTGAAATTGACAGCCTGTGGCTATTGCCAGACGGATTATAAAATAAAATGTGGGCACGAGGTGCCATGAGTAAATAATGAGGATATTTGGCACGTGAATTGTCCGTGCAGTTGTGATATGAAATGTGGGCACGGGGCGCTGTGATGAAATGATAATGATAATTGGCACGTGAATTGTCCGTGCAACTGTGATATGAAATGAGGGCACGAGGTGCCGGGAAAATATGATGATTTAATTTTGGACACGAGGTGCCGTGGAAATATAAAAATGGGCTGAGACCCGTATTTTTATGATTATGAAATGAGGTGTCACATGGTGACTTTTTAATTGAAAGAATTATATTCAAAATATTTATTTGAAAAGATTTATTGAAATAATTATATTTGAAAAATAATTATTTGAGAAAATTATATTTAAAAGAGAGTTATCTGGAAGAATTATATGTGAAAGATATTTATTTGAAGGACTTGATTTAATTGGGTGTAATTGTGTTTATTAATTGTTGAGTGATATTAATGGTACTTGTTGTATGTTGTGCATATAACTGGTTGTTTTATCCTACCCTTATTATTATTTGTTTCTTATTATTTTGTATATTATATTGCACGGGTTATTAGACCGGTGAGTGTCTTGACTGTACCTCGTCTCTACTCCATTGAGGTTAGTCTTGATACTTACTGGGTGCCGACCGTGGTGTACTCATACTACACTTCTGCATATTTTTGTGCAGAGTCAGGTATTTGAGATATCAGACTTGAGCAGAGTTAAAGCACGATCGTAAGGATTCAAGGTAGAGCTGTTTGGCCATCGCAGTCCCTTGGAGTCCTTTCATTTCATTGTACTGTTAATTTGTAATCAAACAGTATTGTATATTCGGTTCTCGTGATCATTCCATGTATTCAATTAGAGTTCGTGACTCAGTACTACCAGTCTTGGGAGGTTGTGTATTCATACTTGTTCCGCTGTTAGTTTTAATTATTATTCAATTTTAAAAAAAATGGCATCAAAAGGTAATCTAAATCGACTTACCTAGTCTCTAAGACTAGGTACCATCACGACGTTTGTGATGGGGTTTTGAGTCGTGACAGTTGTTGTTATATCCACAATTTACTGCTAGATCTTGGTCAAACTCTCTCTTTTTTCCTATAAAATTTTCTGTAATACGTGCAAAATCATCTGAAATCCTTGCATGTAGACATGTAAGCTAATAAGGGCTGCAAATATTTAATCTACACCTTTAGCATATTAATTCTAACAAATGTCAACCGGATGATCTAAAATCTGACCAGTGGCCAAATTCGCATATGCACTACAGCTACACATTTACCATTTTCAAGCAATTAGCTTCATGTTTTCAGAGAAACTGGAAGTCAACTAATTGTAATTCAATTGACCCACCAAAAGATCTTGATATTTCGTCATTTTCTTCTTGTAGGGGTATTAATTGGAACATATCATACAGTGTGGGGTTCTCTTAATTAAGCTTTCCTTTCCAGTAGCTGGCGTCTTTAATTAGTTTATTCTCTTTAATTCCCTTCTTTATTGTGTTTTATCACTTTATTATTTGCCACCTAAAGTATATAATACTCCTACTTGGCAGACTGTGACAAAATAACACTGAACATTTTTTCTTTGATAAACAAAAAAATAAATGTTCAGTGTTATTTTGTCACTGTCTGCCACTGAACATTGAAACATATTCAAACAAACATTTTTTGTCTAACGTCTTTTATAAATAACTGGCAAAATTTTAGGGATTTTTGTCCGAGTTATTTTTATAAAAACATCTCTTGTGATTTAATGAAATTACGTCCACCTTCTGTTGTTTCATTCTTTTTTTCTTCTAACAAAACTAGACTCAAAGGAAAAATTGTTATTGTGTCAAAAAATATCTATATAGTGTAGGTCACTTAAAAAGTAATATGTAACTTTTTCTGGTAATAAATTTTATTCATTGGTAACACGAAAAAATGATATATAACTAGTTCTAAATGATTAAATTACTTTGGTAATGTAAAATCCCTTAAATACTCTCAGTATCTTTAACTTAACTCCAAATGTTAACGAAATATTTTTAAGTTTTTAAGTTGCAGACGACGACATTTTTCAACTTAATTGCAAGTTTGTTCGGACAATAAATATACCAACAAAAAAAGGTGCTGATTGAACTAAAGACAAGTACACTTTTAGTTAGGTTGCATGGAGCAATAATTACTGCACTCCTTTAGCACTAATTTTGTGTAGGCTTAATTACTTAATATAAGTTGGAGGTGCACATGATATTTGGAAGTCCTTGCACATTCGGACGTCTCTCCAGTTCAAGTCGTCTCTGTCTCTAAATTCTACTAACTCGAATTTTCTCACTCACTTCTAGTCTAAGGTAATAAGTATTTCTTTATCCTTAATAAAAGATTTTAGGTGCGAGTTATGCATATGAAATGACTCTCATTAGAAAGAGATTTACCTTTAATATAAAAAATTTCAATATAAATTCGAATTTAGTCGGATTTCAATACAAATATCAAACACCGGACGGGAAAACCCAAAATAACCTATGTATCTTGTGCTTAATGAGGACTTCAAGAACGTGTTAAACAAAATCATTTCTACATAAGTATATCGGTAAGTACATGCGTACTTTCTATTATACGACTAGTAAAGAGACTCAAACTATTCGATAATTCACCTATTTTTCTAACTTGATTTTTCAAAGGATATGCTCCGTTTGTTTTCACTTAAAATATGTCTGAGTTTGAATGATTAATATCATAATTCATTAAGATCGGTGCGATCGAGTTTTTTTGGTTCGGCGGGTATAGTTATGTCCACCCCTACTATAAATGGTTTAATCCATTCAAATCTTGTACTAAATCTTAAAATTATTAAGACGTTAACCACTAGTACTCTATCCACTACCATCACTAGCCCACGCCATACGACCAGCATTACCAATTTCCTCCAACATTATTAAATATGCTGTGTTGGATTATATATAGAGATTAACGGTCAAGGGCCGATTTACTCACGTACGTCGGCGGCACCGAATAACCCGTGCGGCGCCTGCAGGCCAGCTTATCTCCTTTCCCAGGTATTCTAGCACGATCTTGTGCCTGTGGTGGAGCTCGCCTGCGAGGCTCACTCCAACTGTGTCGCCCGTCCGATGTCAAGGCTCTTGGCCTCGACTAATTGTGGCGCATCGCATCTGCTGGATCTCGTCCATGCGCACACCCGGGATTGGCTTAGGACATGTTTGTCCCTCGCCTAGAACTAAGCATCGCTCTCGCGTGCACTGTCCAATCCTCAAGCTTGACACTCGCCTCGTGCATCCGCACCCAGCTTGTGCTTCACCTGAGTAAGGCTACCTTTAGTCCTTGGCCTTCATCATATACGTCTTTCGTGACATGCCCATACATAGCCTTCGCGACATACTTCTATCTCGAATAGTGCAGTGTCGCCCCACAACTGTACGTCTAGACCAACGGAACCTTGCTCGCATAGCTGAACCCAAGCTAAGCTCACAAGTCGACAAATTAGGCCCCTAAGATAAGTGCTTCAAGTATCCAATCAGTACGGAGGTCTCGATCCATCATTTTTGATAGCCTGCAGGGCCTACCCGTTCCACATATCGAGCCTCTAACACCCGTTTGGTGCCCAACGCTAGCCCGAAGGCGTCACTCTGTCCATAGAGTTCCCTAATTTGTATGGATACTTAAGACACTCCTTTGAGTCGTCCAGGCAGGCCCTTGAGATTCCCCTCAAGGTCACTCATTTTGTACGGCTTGGTGGCAGCATGCACAGGGGAGGCGTGTTGAGCTTCAATACTTCTACCCCCTTATATATGCTTAAAATTAAAAAGCCCAAGGTTCCTGAGTAGACATGTCTACGTCAAAGAATTAGAAGGACCTTTTCTCACCGATTCTGAACGGAATCACAACCCCCAAAATGCGGGTTGTGACATTAACTCTCCTTAAAATATCCACCAAACAATGTACTTTATTATGTTGCATTTTGTATGGTCATTAATTCTCTTAACTAGAGAGAGAAGCTCTCCTTTCTCTCTAACTTTTTAATTTTCTCTTTTCTACAACGGTCTTCTTACACACATAATAGTCAGATTTTGGGTGATTCAGCCCAGAATGGTCTCGCCGAGACACCCCTCAGCTCCCCCAAATCCACTGAATCTATCAGTTGCCCCCATAAGCAATTATCCTAAAACAAAATTCAAATTGAGCAAATAAGTTACAAAAACCTAGATCCATCCTTCAACTTTGCAGCTACTCTTGCGAGTGCTAGCAACAATGATTCTAGAAGAAAAGTACGGCTTAATTACACTCCCTAAAATCTCGTCTCAGGCAAACTGGCTGTGTCATTCTCTAAGGATGAACATGCACTACTTGCGGCCACCTGTAAGCTTATGATTATAGGTAAGTTTTCAGAATTCATCCCTCAATTGAAAAAATTCGCACTGATTTTTAGAAAACTATCCCTCTTAAATGAGCTGTCAAGATATGGGATTTTGATCTATATCATATATTTATTGATTTTGACCTTGAGGAGGATCAAAAGGAATGTGTATGGACATTTATCACTCTCTGTAATATACAGGTGAAATTATCCATATTGAAGTACAATTTCAAACCAGATGATAAAATCACCCTAGCTCCAGTCTGGATTAATCTCCTAGACTTGAAATGGCATTACTTTGAATGGGATGATTTGTGTTGGATTGTTGCACATATTGGTATCCCTATTGTATCTGATAAGGCAACCCTTGCTAAGACAAGACCGACTACTGTTAAAATAAAGATTGAGATTGATATCACTAGACCACAAGTGGAAGAAATACAAGTCAATTTTATGAATGAGAATGGAGATTTAGAATCCTTCTCCCGGAAAGTGGAATATAAAAATGTCCCAGAGTATTGTTGGCATTGCAAAGATCAAGGTCATAGTGATGCAAATTGTAGAATCATGCACCAAGAGCTGAGAAATGTTCAAAAGAAATATGAAAATCAATAAAAGCTAGAAGCTCCTCCAAAAGATGATAGAGGTAACACGAGTAACAGCGGTACTAACAGCAATGATATGCAGGAGGAAAATAAGGAAGGAAACAAGAAAGAACATGAAAAAATGCTCAAGAATCACGGTTTAAATGACCATAATGCTGGGGAAGAAGGTTGGAAAATAGTGACTAAACGTAAAGGAAAAGGAAAATACACTGTCACTCCAGCTGTAGTTCTACAAAATCAGGCAATAGGTAAACTCTCCAAGGATAGTAAAACTACTCAACAGGAGACTACAGAAGTGAATATTGCAGGAAGTGCAAAGGAGATTATTGTCTTTGGCATCACATTTACTGCTCAAGGAGGAAACAAAAATGAGATATCTAAAGAAAAAAAGAAAGGCTATTACTCCCATTAGGTTTATACAGGAGAGTGGATCACAACCACCAACAAAAAGAAAAAAAGAATAAAAGAAGCAGGCTGAAATAACGAATCCACCATATGAAAGAAGAATAAGAAGCAGAAAAGGCATCTCTAAGAATGAAGAAGGTTTTCAGAATGAAAAAACCAAAAAATGTTGCGATCAATATACCCAAACTAACATAGAAGTCAAGGTGGATAATACACTTGCTGGTAAAACTCTTGAAACAACAGAGCAAATAAACACTGATGAAGTTACTAAAATGGATACTCTAAGTAGGATTACTTCATCTGAGGTTGTCCCGGAGAAGCTACCCGATCCACTACTACTAGGAAATGGTAGCTCTGAATTTCAAAATCAAGCCCCCCCATAGATAGAAGAAAAGGATGAATATAGCCACTATGAATCTTAGTCTGAAGCTGAAACGGGGGAGGATCAACTTAAGGATATCAATAAACCTATGGTTGTAGGTGAAACAAGTTATACCATGGAAGGTCAAAATATGGAAAAAAAGAGATTCAGATGTGGTGATGACACAAGAGAAATAGCTAGCTTCTATTTCCATACAAATGGCCTCTGATAACTTTAACTTGAACCCTGATAGTAAGGATAAAGCAGGAGGGTACAATGAAGCTACAAAGGATATACATAGTTCTAAGATCCACAAATTCCAATGATTTATACTATTTCATAGAATATTAGGAGTGTTAGGACTCTATGTGCTTTCAAAGACTCAAGACTATCAAAAATAATTACAATATTACGTTTATAAGCCTTCAAGAACCTTTTGAGCAAGCTGAATATTTGCCAAACTATATGAGAGTATTGGATATGCAAGGTTGGTATGCCAACAGCAACAACAAAATTTGATTAATATGGTCTAATGACTTTACTGTTAATGTCATAAAAGATACTGATCAACATGTGAATTGTAGAATTAATCACTTGAGCACTGGTAAAGAGTTTCATGTCACTTGTGTTTATGCCAAATATAGAACTGCTCTGATGAAAGAATTATGGGAAGAGTTAGTGCTACTGTCCAATTCTTTAACAGGTTTGTGGAGTATCATAGGTGGTTTAAATGTAATATTGGAAGCTATTGAAAAGGAAGGAGGTACTCCCTACAGGATTGACAAAAGTTTTGACTTTATCAATTGTATGGAGGACTTTGGATTATAAGATGCTGGTTTTACCGAAAATATGCATACTTAGTGCAATAATAGAGAAGCTACTTCTACTATATGGAAAATACTTGACAGAGTTTTGTATAATTTTGAATGGTTAGATTGTTGATACAACACTTATGTGACCCATCTGGCAAGGGCTTGCTCTGATCGTGCTCCACCATTACTTTAGTTCAACATAAATAAAGAAACGTTTGTTAGGTATTTCAAGTTTGTAAATATGTGGATAGAATATTCCCAATTTCAGAAAGTGATTAAAAGTGTGGGATGAAGATTGTCAAGAAAATTCCATGTGGACTCTTCACCAAAAGTTGAAAAGGACTACAACTAAACTCAGTATGTTGTCGAAAAAAGCCTATGGTGATATCTATAGAGATCCTAAAAAAATATAAGCTGACATTGATATCCTTGAGCAACAGTTTTTAGCCAATAACACCCCTGATAACAGAAGCAATCTCAACAAGACAAAGGCTGAATATGTGTAATTCCTCAAGACTAAAGAAGTTATTCTTAAGCAGAAAGCTAGGGTGAGATGGCTAAATGAAGGGGATTCCACCACTGCCTATTTTTGCAAAGTTATTAGGGATAAAAGGAGAAAACTTTGCATCAATAATATCATGGATGAGAACCAAATTTTGGTGGAGGACAACAAAGATTTCTCAAAAATGACTGTCAGATATTTCAAAGACATCTTCAGTCAAATTACAAACTACAATGACTTTGAGGACTTGTCTTGCATTACTAATGTGATTGATGAAGAAATCAATAATCTCCTGGTTGAACTGCCCTCCAAAGAGGAGATTAAGGATAACTTATTCACTATGGACACTGAGAGTGCACCAGAACTAAATGGTTACTCCATAAAATTCTTCTAGTCATGCTGGACTACAGTGGCACCAAAGATTACTAGGGATATTCATTCCTTATTTTGTGGTGCCAATCTACCTAAATGGTTGACACATACATGTATTATTATGTTCCCTAAAGTGAATAACCCTCATCATTAATCTGATCTAACACCTATAAGTGATGCAATGTTGTCAGTAAGCTCTTATCTAAGGTTCTTAACTTTAGGCTGAGTAAGCTTCTTCCTTCCCTGATCAGTAGAAATCAAAGTGGCTTTATTAATGGGAGGTCAATCACTGAAAATATCTTATTAGCTCAACAGTTTATTCATGACATTAGCTGACCAAATATGAACGAAAATATGGTAATTACGCTGGACATAGTGATAAAGTATCCTGGACATACCTTTGTATGGTGATGAGGAAGATTAAATTCTATGAAGTATGGATAGATATCATATTCAGACACATATCTAGCAATTGGTACTCCTTATTGGTCAATGGTATTAGGCAAGCCTTATTCAAATCAGAAAGAGGCTTAATACAGGGAGACCCTATATCACCCTCTATTTTTGTTATTAGTGCAGAATTCCTTTCAAATAAACAAAATACTTTAAATTCTCATAATTATTTTACTCATTTTGATATGAATAAAAGATACCAAATCATTAATCATCCAACCTTTGTTGATGACATTATTTTATTTTTCAGTGAATGCAGGAGGTCTCCAGCACTGATGATGGAAGCTTTGAACATCTATGAGAAGGTCTCTGGCCAACTGGTGAACAAACTCAAATCTTGTGTCTCCTTGGCTCCTAAACAACATATGCAGGAGATATCAAGATTAGAGGAGAACACAGGAATGACACAAAGATTTTCCTATCAAATATCTAAGATATCCCGTTTATGTTGGAAGGATGACTACAACTATTTTCTTTGAGATGATCTCGAAAGTCCTCAACATGATTTATAGATGGCATACAAAACTACTTTTCATTGGGGGGAGGCATGTGCTAATTAAACATATTTTGTTAGCTGTGCCAATCCATATTGTGGATGTTATTCATTCTCCAGCGGGAGTCCTTAATCAGATTGAATATATTGAACAGATTCTTCTAGGGAGACACTAATAATGCTCATAAATATCATTGGGCCTCGTGGAAAAGTCTTGGTTTTCCTTATGAAGAAGGAGGAGCTGGCTTTAGAAGATTACGGGATACATACAATATTTTTAATATAAAGATATGGTGGAATCTAAGGAGCAACAACTCTCTATAGAGTGAATTCCCTTTGGCTAAATACTGCTAGAGGATCCACCCAGTTAGGAAAAGATGGTACTTAGGGCATTCCCACACCTAGAATGCAATGTGTAAAATCAAAAGTGATATGAATAATTACATCTTATGAAAGGTGGGCATAGGGGTTGTATCTCTATGGTTTGATAATTGGACATGATTAGGGCTCTTTGGAAGTATTTTTCACAAAATAGATAGCCAAATAATATCAAATTGCAGGAAGCTCTAATTGATGATGTATCGCATTGAGGTGGTTGGGACATGATCCTTCCTGCAGATGTATTGGCCCACATTAATAATGCGTATTAATCTTTCCCTTGATATAGAAGATAGACCAATCTGGACAGCTGAACAGAGAGGCAATTTCACTATCTCATCAGCTTGGAACTTACTAAGAAAGAAAAGATGCAGATCTTGGATGATTCTATGACTTGGCATAATAAGATTCCTTTCACAATGAATTTATCTTATGGATGCTAGGATTGCTAAAATGAGAATTGCTATTCCATCAAAGTGTTGCTGCTGCAGAGTTCCAAAAGAAAAAAATATTGAACATCTATTTTGTATAGGCAACTATGCTCAAGATGTTTGGAGGATCATTTGTGGTCCGATGAGAATCCCCTTCTCCAACGTTCCTCTTAGGCAGCTCCTTATGAACTTGTAGAAATGAAAATCCAAAAATATTATTATCCTGTTTATGGCAAGGTGTATCTGAACTATTACTATATGGAAAATATGGAGAGCAAGATGTAGAGCCAAATATGGAAAGGAAAGCCATCAGATACAAAGATCTATTACTAACATTTCTAACACCATCCCCTAGCTGATGAGCAATAATTTTAAAAATGTTTAGGTGAATTCCAATTGGGATAGTGTTGTACAGCTCATGGGAAACAAGATCAACTCAAAAGAGATTGTTATGGTTATATGGATTAAATCATCTATTAGTTTTGTTAAGCTTAACTATGATGGGAGCAGCAAAAATAAAATCTGTGGAGGAGGAGGATGAGTAGTAAGATATCATGTTGGTAATCTTGTTTTTGCCTATTCTCTGAAGTTAGGAAAATGAAGTAGAAATTGGGCTGAAGCCTACTCTCTATTTGGTATAAGGTGGTGCACAAATAATGGACATGACTTTATCATAGCTGAAAGCGATTCAAAACTGCTTGTAAATTGTGTTAATGACATCAGCAGTACCCCTTAGAGGATACAAAAAGAAGTTGATGAGCTGAAGAGGCATATGATTTCAAATGGATATATTCTTCAGTATTGCTATGGAGAATCTAACTAAGTTACCGATAAATTAGCTATGCTAGGTCGCATCGATCGGAACAAAAATATTTACGATGATTTTAAAGACCTCCCTAGACAGGTTAAAGGGCTCATGACAGTGGATAGATGGGGCATCCACACGTACAGAACAGTCAAAAAGAGGAAACATGATATTATCTGGGAGCCACCTTAAAATGGTGTATCTTTTTCTTCTTTTGTAACTATAGTTACTCCTTCTGTTAACTTGGATATTCTGTTGTTAATTCTAGTAACAAGGGTACCCTAGCTTTAAGTTGCATTTACCTCATCTTTTAGATGGAGGGCCGCCTCAAATCTGGAGTAGGCAATATCAACACTCTTTGTAGACTCCCTCAAACCAAAGTGTACCTTTTGAAAGATAAATAAAATGCATGATATATTTATCTTTAAATATAAAAAAACACCAACCAACCGGGCTCTAAAATGTCATGATAAGTTATGTGTCTTTTTATTTTTATGATTTAACAAACTTCACATGAAAACCAGATAGGGAACCTGATACAACTAGCCTCTCCGGACTTAGAACAACAAGTCAAATGTCTGGCACAAGTTCCAATAAAATCACTTAAGGGAACATGAGAGGGAACATATAGAAATTAGTTCCTCCGATAAAAGTACAAGTCAACTTTTACAGTTGTTAAAGTTGTTGCATTGCACATGCAACAACACAATAGTCACTGTTGAAGCATGTTGTGTATCGAACACTTCCTTGCATCATCCTTGATAACCTCACTTATATATTACCAAGTCACGCCCCAAACCTGAAGAGGCGTGGCCATCACCTGATGCCATACTCGGCCCGAGCGTACCACTCTGTAACTGTGAACTTTGGAGGGTAACCCTCAACTTAGGCCGATGAGGCCATATTCTGAATCATTTGAAAATAACGTCTACAACCAACAATACCAAACTAAACATTTACATAGGGTTGGTAAAGCCACAATACTAATATAAAAATGTACAGAACTCGTCTACAAGCCTCTAGTAATAACTGAATTATGTCATGGTCGGGACAGGGCCTCGACCTACCCATCAAACCTGTATATATAAAATGGACTCCAAGGTATCGACCTGGTAACTCCAAGGAAGTGGAGCTTACCAACCAAGCTGATGTTTGACTTTGTCTACTGGGAAGGTCTATCTAGCTGTCTATTAGTATCTGCAGGCATGAAATGCAGCGTCCCCAGCAAAAGGGACGTCAGTACGAAATAATGTACTGAGTATGTAAGGCAACAAGATAACTGAAATCTGAAACTGAACTGATAATATAATAACTCAAAGTACCTGGGGAGTCAAATATAATTTGAAGATATGCTTACCTGCTGATACTGACTCATCTCTCTCAATATAGTAAGTAAAATAGTTGCCCGACCCTATAAGGCTCGGTATATGTAACTGCTCTACCGTAGTAGGCTCGCTCATAGGCGTTCGACCATATTAGGCTCTGTATCGCGGTCATTTTGGGCTCGCTCATAGCCGCTCGGCCACAGTAGGCTCGGTATATAACTTTTCATCTGATCATAGGTTGCCCAATAGGGGCATGCCCACCGATTATAGCTCGATGGTGGTGAAAATATTGTAATACTGTATATATATAGACCTTCTGCTCTCTTGACTGGAAGAAGACAATACTAAATTGAATATAAAGTCCCGATAAGGGAGAATACTGTAACTTATGAGACTAGAATAATGTATATAAATTCGGGAGTATGAACTTCTTCTTATGCTTCGTTATCAAACACATGTAGTTACGGGATCATGCCAAAATGAAGAAAGGTTTAGCCTTAACATATCTTAACTCCGTTGAGTCCTTAATACCTTCCAAGAAATTCTTCAAACAACTCAACTACATCTACCACATCATAAGAAAATTCAAAATCAGTGCTGAGTAAAGGCCAAGTCCGCAACTTAAACTAGTAGCTCGTTTACGTTAATTTGGGCAGCATCTCCCCTGTAACTAGGCCCTCCTCCAATACCATATACCAACAACAACAAGAACACAAAAATAACAACATGTAAGTATCATTTTTCAACCTTATCTCCATCACAATATACCACAAAACAGCCTACACACCCTAATCACTTCATACATAAAACGACAACCAAAGTAGTGTCAAACAACCTAAAACAATATAACGACGAACGACCAGCCCACCATTACATCATTATATGGTGTTTATCCATATCATTTGTCCTCCAAAACGGCATTAAACAGTAGCAAAATAGACAGCCCAAATTCAACATGAAACAGCCCACAAAACAGTCCACTACAAGTCAAATAACTCGAACTCACGGCTTTCGATCACCGTCCCGTGAGTTCTAACTATTAGGAAATGAATTTATCAACCTTTATTGATATTTAAAAGTTTAAATACAGAAATTAGGAATATTATTAACTATTAAATACATTCCAAAACTCATATTACAAAGAAAAAGAGAGACGATATAGTGATACTTACGTTGTAGGGATCGTTTTAATGTTATCGCTACTTGATTTCGTGTACGGGATGATAATCTTATTTGAAGCACTTGTAGAGAGCTTAAGGGTAAGGTTAGGGGTATTATTTGGGCGTGCTCTTTGGAAAAATGGATAAAGAGGCGAGCTAAGGGATATAAATATCCCATTTTTTAAAAAGTCAAAAAGGTGCTACTTGGCACCCTATGATTGGCCCTTCTTCAGACGCTTATATCTTTTTATCCGGACGTCGTATGAATGAACGGTTAAGAAAATTGAAAACTAAATTCCAAGACCTTTAATTTTGTATATAATATGTCCCAAAAATACCCCATATAGAACACGAAATATATTGCTCAAAAACCAACATTACAAGGTAAATCCTTAGTCGGTTTTTTCGCAACTTAAATTCGATTTTTTCTAAACTTTATATTTTATATCAAAATATCATATATAGTCATATCATGACTTTAAACTCATTTAAATCATGATTAACAAGTCTCATATTCATCTTAACTTACTTAAGACTTTGGTAAAACTTTCTTATCCTTGTACAAGGATTTCGTCACTTTTGAGCTCACATTAGAAACAACATGTCCCCTTAGAAATATTTGTCCCCGAATGATAACTCTTAAAGGCTTGCGAAAATGGGACGTAATATCGTTAAATCACCTTATATACTTTCAAAGAGGATTTCATTTTCAAGCTTACATCACTTGACTTACGATGTACTTTCACGTACAAAAAGATGGGGTGTAACACAACATGAGGCAAGGGATTACACACACATGCAAATCCTAAAACATATTTTACTCTCAAGTGTGCAGCCGCCTTCATTTAGTCCAAGGCATTGAAGAACAAAACATCAACATAACAAAGGACAAGATCCCAACATTGAATACATTGTGTGTCCTTAGTATTGTGTCTTTGTTTATGCTATTCATTTGTAACTCCAACTCAGCTTATTTTGAAGAATCTCCTAGGACACGTTATAAATCATAAACCTTGTATTTGTGTTGACTAAAGTTAGTCAAAATGGTTAGCTTTATAATAGAGTTATTACAAAGAGGCTTGCAATATAGTTATTGTAAGTAGGTGAGAGATTAAGAGTTTAATTCATAGGTTATAATAGGTTGTAATCTAAAGTTGCTCAGTTAGTGAAGTTGAAATCCTACGAATGTAGGTCATGGTTTTTAATCTCGTGAGCTAGGACTTTTCTACATAAATATTATTGTGGTATTTACTTAATGTTATGTGTTCTGTGGGAACTGATAGAGAACCATGTTCTCTACATAGTTTGGTAGACTCTTAGTTTACATCAATTGGTATCAGTGCAAGTTCTTTCTATAAGTCTAATACCTAGAAAGGATCTACATGGCTTCTTAATATGTGGGGATTTTGACTACTTATTAGCGCATTTTAGCTTTCGTTTTTAGTCCAATAGTATTTAATTATATTCCCAAAAACTGATGAAATATGCTTAATTGCAGAAGTATTGGAAAATGAGCTACTAAGATGAAATCCAACTCAAGAAGGAGTGATCTGAACTCAAAGACAAAAAT